GGGCTCGGGGAGGGAGCGGGACCCAGCGGGAAAGAAGTGCTGTTTGGGGCTTGTTCGCTCTCAGCCTGCGGGGGTGTCTCCCCACGTAGTTACGGTTTTGTAACTTGTCTTGGACAAGCTTCCGTGCGTCGTCCAGGAATAAAGCTCATTAACACCACAATTAATTTAAGAACCTGTCACAAGCTCCAGATGTATCATTCCTCCTTCGTACTTGGGGCGCTCAGTGCCTGTTGGCACGTTGGACAATAAGTGGAAAAAGGAAGGGCGTGTGGACTGGGCAGAGCTCGGGAATAAAAGGCGCCCTCGCTGCCACGGGCCGGGCAGGTCCAGGGTGTGCGCCCAGATCCGCCCCGAGTCCGCCTTCCTGGCCGCAGCACGTCTGCACCCGCCGGCCACGGAAGCGGCGGCGGAGCCTTATTTGGCGAACTGGGCGAGGCAGAGGCTGCCGCTGGGAAGCCGTCTGCGCGGCCGCTTTCATCCTGCTTCCGTGGCTTTGGTGACTCCATCTGCGCTGACTCCATCCTCTCTCCGGATCTGGGAAACAAGCGACTTTTCACCAGTTTCAGGCTGATGCCTCCCTTCTCCCCTCCCCTCTCCCACCGACCCAAGGAGCTGGGATACAAGTGTGGGAAAAGCCAAGCAAAGACATAGTTTAGATTCTCCCTAAAAAGAAAACAGAAACTCCAGTATTTTCCACGCGTTTGAAAACAGAGTGAGCCGCTCACTATTTCCTGCCTGTTGGGTATTTTCGGAAGGGTTTGAGCACTAATAACCAGATGGTTTTCCAGACCTGGAAAAGGCCAATAATAATATTGCTATTGCTTAGGGATCTGACTTGTAAGGCAAATGAATTCTGCATGCTGCTAGCAGAAGGGGAATACTAAAAGGGAAACACTGATTCTGTGCAGCTCGCAGAAGGAAAATACTAAAGAAAGGGAAACACTGATTCTATCTCTAGTGTGGCTATGACCTGGAAATTTTAATAGCAAATAGAAATCAAGAAGGGAGCCCCCAAGTAGAAAAGCAAATGTTTTGAGAATGTTGAGGGCAACAAATGTACAGATGTGCTCACACAATGGATGAATGTATGGATTGTGAGGAGTTGTATGAGCCCCCAATAAAATGATTTTTTAGAAAAAGGGAGCCCCAAATAAAGGGAAGCTGCACATACA